TTCTTTGCCGATCACCACTGGAAACCATTCTGTATCAGCATTTAAAGGTACAAGACTGTAATTCAGGAGGTAATTTCCCATCTTAACAGAATCCAATTAAAAGCAGGGACATTTCAATTAAACCTCCCCCTGGCTTGTCGCTACAGTGTCACACCATAAGTGAAATTGGAATCAGATTACGGGGAGAATCTGAAGAAGTATTTTTCAGTGCAATAAGGATAGCTCATTCCTGACAGAGACCCCTGTCATGCATCCTGTAAGAAAAAATCTTTCCCAACATTACTCATGTAATATTCCCTCTTTATTAATTTCACAGCAGATTACCTGAGAAGATACAAAATGCCGTTAGAAATGATTTTAATTAAGTATGGGGTATGTTTCTGTGAGTGCCTTATGTGAAACCGCTGCTTTATAATGCTCTTGTTTTAATTACTTCAGAGTCCCCCCTCATTAACCTCTATGGATATGTGCTCCAAACTAAGGTGTGCATTACAAACACAAGTCTTGAAAAAAATCTTATTTTCATTTAAAGATATAGAAATGAATGCTTTTTATTTTTTAAAGAAAAAGACGTTCTCATTCATCCTCAATCAAACTCATTTTTCCCGTAAGAATTTAGAATGGAAATAAAAAATAAACAATAGAATTACAGATAATGGGCTTTGAACTTGACAATTAGGCGATAACCTTGATGACTAAGGGCACCGTGACGACCCCTGGTGGGAGATACAACTTCAATTCACAGGTCACCGTTTGTGCTTTATTTCTACTAAATGCCTTAAATAATATTATCTGGTTTATCTAATGATTTCCATGAGAACAAGGAGCTGCTAATAGATTTTAATTGTCAGATATATTTGACATGAATTTGATAGTTGTATTTTTTTTATCTCTTACTATTTAACGTGTGCTCAGTTTTTTAAAATTTAGATAGAAATTAATTTGAAATATGAATAATAGTGTTTTTTGTTATTTTGGGCTTTGTCATAAATGCAGCTTGCCTGATGTTTTCAGATATCTTTGAAATATAATTAAAATATTTGTGTAATTTTTGAGATTGTAAAAAAAGAATTAAAAAAATGTAGCCATAGAAATAGCAAAAACAAATAAAGCCTTTTTTAGGCAGCGTTGCTGTTTGGTTGATTCAAACACACGTTACTTTTGTTTCACGCTTTCACTGCCCCACATTTCAAGCAGCTGTGGGTGGTCTAGTCAGAAGCCCTTTGGATATATCCTTTTGATCCTTTTCATCCCCAAGTTTCTGAATGGTTCCAAATAGATTTTTGAAAAATTGCTCCAAAAGTGGGCCCCTATTCAAAATATTCGAATGGGTAACTGTGGCTCTGTCCACCCTCACACCTTAATGTGGTTTAACAGGATACATTAGCTTTTAATGGCACTTAATTGTATAAAAAGGAAATCCATAACCATGCAAGGAGAAAAGTCAAGTATTTCAAAGCTCTTTATAAGAACAATTTAGAGAAGACAAGTGCTTTTCAAACCTTGGATTGGAATCAGTCCGACAGTCTGGCCATGAAGAGCATGCTCTGCATTTGTGAGCCTACAGTGCCACCGTTTGGTCATCAAGAGCTCTTCATTTCCTGGCAAGAGCCGTAATTCAGCAGGGGATTTGAAAAGAAAAAGTGTTTGTTTTTAGTTAGATTTTTTTAAAACAGTTTATTTATTAATGTCATAATTTGTTTCTTTTTTTGCCTGATTTTAGCTTTAAACTGGCCTTTTAAAAGCAGCATGGAGTTTTTCATGTGACTATAAAGCTGAACTGTCTTCACCTACCATATATCGTTTAAAAGATAAGCTGGACTGAGCTTATTCCAGGTGCTGAATTAAAGAGGGAAGTAAACATCCAGTGCCACTGTTATTGTTGATACATTGGTGCTCTGTGCCATTTTAGATAATGAGCCATAACTTGTGCTTCAAGAACAGAGTAGGTTTGCCAAGAAGAAATGGTGATTACTATCAATTAAGACTGATGACAAAGTGCCAACAATAACCCGGAGTGTGCGTGTCTGTGAAAGCTTGTGTTTTATTCACACGTCCTCCCAAACAACCCTGTTTTGTGTAATCAACATCTGTGGTGACAGGCAACCTCCTCCTTTCTCAGAATGGCCCACTTCAGATAATGAGTGTCATACCAAACTGCAGGGCAAAGGCTGATTTTGCATCTCTTTTTGCACTCCTCCTCTTTGGCCTCTTCCTCTTTGGCCTCACTCCCCTCTGGTCCCTCTCCCATCATTCAAGACATCCATTGTGTAAAACCTTAAAAAAGAGCGACAAATGCTCTCACAACATTATCTGTTCTCGACATGTGGGGGTAGTAGATGAAACAGAATACTTTTCCTACATAGCTGTCCAAAAAATGCTGAAATTCTTGTGAATGCCTTAATTGTCCCTTTAGAACTTTATGTCCACACAAAGAATCCCCCTTCATGAGATTTTCAGATTATTTTCCCCCTGATTTTCTGTTGTCACTTGAATTTATTCAGCTATTTTTTCTGCCGTAATACGCCTGCATAACCACGTTATGTATGGGTTATATAAAAATAAACGTTCTGTACTAGGATTGTTTGCATGCCTTAACTTTACACATCTGCGTTTAGGCGCCATCTTCTGGCATATTTGTTGAACTATTTTTTGGGGTTTCTCACTCATGGTTTTTGTGAGTACATCTATAATGTAGACTTTCAGCACTTTAAAAAATTGTGTTATGCAATTTGTCATAGAAGCTGACTGTATGAATAGTTATTTACATTAGTAAACCCTACAAGAAAGTTTTCATTTATCAAATTGAAATTGATAAATTAAATCTGCGGCCTGGTGCAGTACATGATGAGACAGACAGGGTCAGAAAAGAATAATGTTTAAATCTAATGACAGTTTGATGGGGTTTATAATTGTGTGCATTGACTATCTTTAAATTTTCAGAAAATTTTTTTTTTTTTTCTGAATTTCCCCAATGGAATTTTCCACGGCAAAACCATGTGGTAAAGAATGTAATTAGGATCTGTGAATGGATTTTTTTTATCCAAAGACTCCCCAGTAACCTAACCGTCTAGGTCTATGACCCAGTTTAACAAACAATCATATACGTTGATTGATTTCCCTGCTGTTCACTACTCGAACCACATTAGAGGAGTCTCTAATCACAGCAGGAGAGTGTAAATGTATTCAATGACTTAAGTCAGGGTGTCTGACAATTTCTAGTCTTTGAGGGCAGCTGTCCTGCAGGTTTTAGACAATTCCCTGCCTCAAGGCATCTGATTCTAATCAATCAACATTAGCTGTCGTGTGCAGAAGTTAATAATCTTTTGAAGAGGGCCCTTCAATCTGAATCAGGTGCAGGGAAACAACTGAAACCTGCAGGACAGTTTGAACCCCCCTGACTTAAATGGTGACTGTTCTCCCATTCGGGAGTGCCAATTACCAAGATATAAAAGATTTGTAAGAAGTCAAACCTTTGATTTTTTGTTGTAAATGATGGATATTATTTTGAAATATATTGAGATAAATTATTCTTAAAAATGACACACCTCTATATTCTTAGCATTCTAGCTCAGTTGTCATACAGATTGTTTTCTTCCAAAGTTCAAATGCATACTTGTGTGTTTAACTGGTAACTGTGGCTTGACATGCTCCTCTGTCTATGTTTACCCTTTAATGGACTTGCGACCTGCCCAGGGTATACGTCACATCTCAGCCGTTGGCAGCTGGGCTTTAAACTATGCTAACATAAGAGCTCGGAAATACCAGCATAAAGTAAACAAGACAAACTGATTGATGTCTGTCATGAAATTCATGTAATTAATAATGTGATCATGTATTGACGACCAAGACGTAAAATAATATACTGGGTTCCACTCTGTGGTCCGTTCATTGAAATATACAGAGATGGACTTTAAAACGTGTCATCAATTATTGAAGGCTTATTGAAGGCTCGATGTCATTAAATGCAGTTATTTTAAGGATACCTTATCATTTCTTGAAAACAAATCCTCACTAAGGGTGTGAGTTTATTAGTGCACATGTCTCAACTCACTGGATGAACTTAAATAACATTAATAAAAAGTTGTATTTGCAAGTTCTTGAATGAGAATATTCAACCATCAGAACATAAAAATACTGAATATCACAGATCTGACATTGGCATCTGCCTTGAATGTTTTTTAAAATGATTCAGATTCTCACCGTAAAATGATGAACATCTTTAAAGTAACACCTTTATAATTTGATGTATAACAACAAAGGCATTGCATTTCTATCCTTGGACTCACCTTTTCTTTCAGGTTACTGCTTTAATAGCTCTGCTCCCACCTAATGATGTGTGACCACATTTTTGTGCATTTGACAAGCAGGACTTAACTGGGACTTTTCCTTTGAATTCCTCTGGATGTAAGGGATGTCGTCTTTCTCAAACTATATCCTCTAGTCTACGTTGTACATAATTCCTACGCCAGAGGGCGCTTGCGAGCTACATCATAAGTCAGACTTAACCTTTAATCAAATAAATACATCAGTTTTTTATACTACAACCAGACACCTAAGTTGAAATGTAACTTTTTTTTATTTAAAGAAAAAAACCTCTCTTACGAGTTTTCCTCAGTTAATTCAAAGCTGCAGAACTCAAACAAGATGGTCCTCTTGTCTGCATAATTTAGTAGCTTGGCTCTTAAACAGAAAATAGAAACACGTTGTTTTTTACAGTCAGGGCAAAAACACGAAGTGTGCAAAGTGGAACTGGTAAAAGACAAAAAAGGGCGTATTCAAATGCACTAACCACTCCTTTCAGTCAGACTCTGCTTCCGTATTTTCACACCCACTAAAAAAAAAAAAAAAGGAAAAAACAGGACCCACCAGCGGCCGTCGGGTGAATGTTTACCGAGCAAGCATAGTCTGGTGGTGAGGAAAGTGACAGTCACACTGGAGGTTCGGTGTACGCTGAAATACAGGTGATTTCTGCTTCCACGGTTGCAATTTACAGCGGAATGTTCACTCGAAGGGGGCATGGAGACGTCAAGAAATCTACACAGAAAGTTCTGGACCCAAAGAAGGATGTTCTGACCCGGCTCAAACACCTCCGGGCACTGATAGGTGAGTGAAATGTCACCGGGCTTTGGATGCTGCACCGTCGAGGCTAAGCTAGTCAGGCTAGCTAGCTGGCATCTACCGACCGCTAACGTCAAACAAGGCGTCAGGTTAGCGGGCACGCTGACTGCTGCTAGCCCCGTTAATGGGTAACATGTGCTCTCCCTGTCTCCGCCAATCTCCCTTTTCCTGCTGAAGGGTCTGTCTCTTATCGCTTGAAGGCTGGTGTATTTTTTTAACCAGTTATAATCAGACAAGTTCCTCTGTGATGGAGGCATGGATGCTAGCCGTGTAATGCTAGCTGCAAGGCTGCTAACTAGCCAGCCAATTTTGCTAACTGATGTTTTCTGGTCAGTGCATCAGTGCTTACACTACATGCCCCCCCCCTCCACAGCCTTTGTTTTAATTCAGTCCTGTGGACACATCGCAGGTTTCCCTTTAACATCAGTCAGTATTTATTTGCATAAAACACAACATAACAAAACCAAGCCTGAGGTTGAGTGAGGGCTCTCTTCCAGCTCGTTTGGTTGGGGTGCAAAGTCCATCTAATGTGTCTTGATATTTTTTTCATTTGAAAATGATTGTCTATAGCTGTGCAGTGCTGGAGTGGTCCTTTTGTTTGTTTTATTGGACAAAGAAGTGCATGTTTTATGGCGTGATCATAAAATTGGACGTCCTGAGCTTGCCCTCCTGCACTTTGATAGTCAAAATAGACTGGAATTGGTTCTTCAAAGGGGTTATTCTTTGTCCTGTTTTGTTAGAGGCGAAGGTATCAATTTGAATTCTGCTTATTTTATCTTTGAATGTTTATTTTTGGTTACTTGTAGTTGAATTTTAACTAAAAAGAATGATTCTGAGCACAGATCATATTTCTTTCTGCATGGCGCAGCTTGGAAGTTGCAGACATGTGACCTGCAAGTTAAACAGTTTGAGGGAAGCCAGCGGTTATTGAACTTTTGCAATAACCTTTTATGTTTAGATGCAAGTAGTTGGATTCTATTTTGTCATTTTAAGAGCACTTTGTCCCATTTATATGAAAGTAGTATGATATTGCAAAGAGCAACGGCCTAAATATTTTCTGCCATTAATAAACATTAACATATCCCAATATTTAAAACACTGTTAAATCTCATTTTATTTGGGTTGCATTGCTATACCATGACTTAAATGTTTTACCACAAGACAACATGTCGTGTCACATAATTTATGGTCTCAGGTAAGCATGGCTGTCTCGATAATCTGTCCAAAAACACAACATTAAAATGGCAGGACATGTTGAGCCAGATCACACAGAAACCGATACTACTAACAAGGCAATGAAGGGTGTATTTGGCATATATAGCACACCTTCATTTGCATTTGAGACGTCAATGCAACACATTAGAGTAGACAGTCTGCTCAATCTTTGATGGCAGCCGGCTTATTGGGGAGCATAGCATAATGCACAGTGCACATGTGTTACCCTCAGCTCAACAGGGAAATACAGGTCAGAAGATAGAATGTGGATTGTCAACAGGGAAATGAGAGATATGGAGAGAAACGGCTGTAAATTCCTTTCAAGAACAACCTTTTTTGTCCTAAATTTTAAAGTCACTGCTGTAATTGCAGCATCTGGTATGCAGTTACATGGACAATGTCCACTGAAATGCATTGTATGTTGAAAACATCACGCATAACATTGATGATCATCAATATCTGTAAACTATGATGCCCTTTTTTTAAACTTTACATGAAGAAACGGTAGAGAATGAGGCTTGTTTGAGCTATTAAGAGTACGGACTGTGTGCCGGTATCGATGTTTGCGTGCTGGATTGTTACCTTTTCATGGTGTTCTTACTTATTCTACAGCAGCAATACAGCAACTTTCTACTTTAGAAACTTCAGCAAAATTGCTGGAGGTTAATATCTTAAGATACAAGTACAAATAGAGTGGAGGTCAGCATGGAGATCTGCGTGTCTTTTGGTGTTTTTCTTTCCATGGTGTGCAGCTAAAGATAAGGCTCGTGTGTTTGGCCAGAAGCTGATAGTAGGACCTCCATGGTAATGTCCTTTAAACTCCCAGATTTCACAGCGCTTTCAGCTGAGGAAGGATTTCCTCCCGGTGCTGCTGGTTCCTGTGTGAGCAGGAAGAAGTGATGAGAGATGGGATGTTGTGAAGAGTAGGACAGGGACCTGAGAGGAGGATGAGGAGGGGGGGGGGAGGTGGCAGGGTTGTCTTTCTGATATGGGAAAATTATACTGTTGATAGTACTAAAAAAATTATGCATACTCTTTTCTGTACACTTTGCAGTGTGATTGCGAAATACTTCTGGTAATGCGTGAAATGAGAAAAATCTGATGTGCATCTTGATGCAGAGCGGTATAGCTCGTGTGTATAAATCTTTAGAAACCAGCAGAATTTGGCACATGAAATCAATTTTATAATAGAGGGAGGAACTTATGACTATTTTTTAAGGTAAAAAATTTCTTGTTTTTTAAATATTAATCCATCAATCTGTATTTATACAGCACTTTTCATACAAATAAATTATATAATTTCCATAGATTAAAAACACAAAAAAAAAGATGGAAACAAATCCCATGCCCTCCGTTCACTCCCAAAAATCACATGAGCACAAGTGTGCCATTCATACACAGAACCCAGAATAATGACATTTTAAAATACTACCAGACTACTGTTAACTCACACGTCGGCCTGTATGAAGTCAGTCACCGTTTGATACACTTGTGTCTCCCTCCTCAAGTTCTTTAATGACATAAAACCATATCCAGACATTTGTCTTGCTGAATCGAGCTGTAACATCGGTGGTGTTGGGCAGTCTGTGGTCTGAGCCTTTTTCAGGCTGGCCCTGTGTCGGTTTTCTGCTCATTGAGCAGATCTGCGGGATAGAGTGTGAAAGCTGCTGCATGTTAATTTGCTGGTCATGCCTGGCTGGATTTGGCTGAGGTTGTTAATTACAGGAGCCCAGCAAACCACCTGATCGCTCGCCGTTTCTCTCACCGTTGGCACAAAGGGCTTTTCCTCTGATTATTTCCAGAGTAAAGTCATTCTCGCCCTTGGACCCAACTCACCATGTTCGCTGATGCATGCCAGTGTCCCATTTACTCTAAAAATAAAACCAAAGATGGCAGGTCTAGTGTAGGTGTGAGTGTGGAAAATCCACCACTGACTGGAGTTCACAGGGACATTATTTATTTATTTATTTTCCTTTAACTGTGTCCTGCAGCCTGGGTGGGGGGGAGGTGGGGTAGGGGGACGTCACTTTGCAGTCCCAAAAGGTCTCGGTTGTGAGAATGTGGCCGTAGGCTCATTGGCCGAGATGAATATCTCCATCAGGTCTCTCACCCGAACCGAAAAGCTGCATCCCAAGTAGCTGCTGTTTGTTTGCTCTTGTCCCTTTAAGCTGGTGTCAACACGCTCAGCTGGAGTCTGCTGCCCAAGTGCGTGGGAACAACAGCGCAAGTGTTACAAGTGATAACAGTCAGGTGTGTTTGTGTATGTTGTGGATGTAAGTATTTGAGGCAAACACTTAAAAAAAAGCATACACACACTGCACTAATTTCTGATAAGAAAAGAAAGAGTCATGCACCTTAGCTTGTTTCATTGTGGGCTCCAAGTGCTGTTTGGGTCAGGGTCGAAAGTGTTGCTGTGTTTTGTAAGAGGAAATTACAAGCTGAAGGACCAGGGGAAACCACAAACACAGCACTGGAAGGGCTCTTAAGAGTGAAAGACTTGTCACTTGACTTATTATTCCCTTTCTTTTTGTAAGACACTCAAGTTAGACCCATGAGCTTCACCAGCCTCTTAAAAGCTTTTATCCCAGAAAATGTGAGTTAGACCACAATCCTTGAAAATATGTTTTTCCATATAAGTAACAAAATTAATTATTCAAAACTTTTCTTTTCAAACAGATTTAGTTATTTTCCATAGAATTCCTTTCTACGATATCATACAATAATAAAGTAAGTTAGTTTTTATTTTTTTCACATTTACTGGCCTAAAACGGCCACCAGGTGAGGCTTGCATTTCTAAGTGGAGATAATAGAAATAATATATTATTGACTAAGTTGACAACCTTAGTCATCATTATCGCCCTAGCATTTATCATCTTACTGCTTGTGTTAGCATTAGCTGCCTTGAGCCGCTCTATTCGGAGACTTCAGAGCAGAAGAAAAAAAGGCAAGAGGACACTACTGTTGCAAACATCCATCTCAAGGCTGAAGGGAACAAAATTAGGATGAACAAGCAGCAACATTTAGATTTCCAAACAGCCATGTTTATGCTGTCTTATCTTGTGGGTTTACACATTACATGCAGAGACATCTATTTCAAAGAGAGATGTAATAAATTAATCTCCCAACTGGCCTGTGATGACTTCATTTAAAAAGATATTTAGAGATGTTCATGTGTGTTACAGTGTATTGCAGCAGCCCGACTTGTGGTAAGAATATACTTTAAAGTAACTGTTGGATGCTGATTTAAAAAAAAAAAAGTCTTCTCAATTATATATTTTTTTCTACATTAATGATAAAAATCATGTGTTACTCAGATTAGAGGTACATGGTGATCATGAAAAAGGAGCCAGGTGCCCCTCCTGTATATGTAATACTTGTTTAACAATGGAAAGAATATGAGCTCACTCAGGGGTTCCACCATTTTTTAGTGCTTTCACTGCCTTATATTTTGTTAACTGTCTGGTGAACCTGTCAGACAAACAACTACAGGTGTGAAGACTAAATCAAATTATCTCTACATGTCAACTTCTTTCCTCGCTCCTTCCTAATATGAATGAGTTTGGCCTCTAAACTGGTGGCTTTGTTAAGATAAGCACTTGGCAGCACAAAGAAGTCCTGTGCTACAGTCCTTCACTCATTAGAATAGCAAATCTGACCATGGAAAAACAAACAGGCCAGCTAATTCAGATCAGAACAGATCAGAAGTATCACTGGAGCTACGTATTCACCCCTCAAAGTGGCTAAAGGCCTTTGACGGCTTTGTTTGTGCC